TGTGGTACTGACTTAAGGGCCTGTTAGGTATAGGCAACAGATAACTCATTGTTGAAAAGACTTTCATTACAAAAACTGTGCAGAAGGTGTTCAAGAACTTGTAATAACAAAGACAATTACAAAATGACTTTTGTTGTTGTGGCATGATGTATGCGACCTGGTGACACTCTTTGTTGCATAATCTTGTCTCTAATTAATAGTCACTGACGTATAGTTTTCTACTTCAGTAGCAGAATGTGTAGAACTGTTACAAAGAATCTTGAGATTAGTTTATGTTTAGAACCATTCCAAAGGATCTCAAGATTGACTGTGTTAAGAGCTGTTCCAAAGGATCTGGATATTAGTTTATTTTTTGATGTTTTGTCATTGTAATAATTCAAATCAAGCTCAACCTCACATAGTAACTGTTTATTGTCTGATCATTCCTTAAATTTCAGGGTGTGACTTATGACACTGGTGGGGCAGATATTAAGGCTGGTGGATTTATGGCTGGAATGAGCAGGTAAAGATGCTCTTTCAACTCAAACAGTGACCAGCATCTGATTTCTCCTTACAGCAATACATTTGAATCATTCATTAACATTTAGAGAATGTAAAAAGTTTTGATAATTTTTGTTAAACAAATTCTCCTTGTCAGCCACTTTAGGGAATGCATAGAGAACAGTATGGAGAATATGCATACTGATGTTAGGGTGTAAAGGGTCTTGATAACACTACAGTTATTTATGTTTGGTAACACTGTTATGGTGAGAACCTAAAAGGCGCCAATTAGAAAGTACTAGAAAGAAATTTGAGAGGTGAAGGTATCACTTAATCAAATGGTTTCTTTTGTTTTTGAAACCAAAATAAAAACCCTTATTAAAATGACTGTTTGAATGGGTGAAGTAGGAGCAGCTCTGTAGAAAACAACTTGTTGTCATTACTGGTTAGAGTGAAGGTTTTTTAGGGATGTCAACACAGATTACACGACTTAACCAATTTTATCGACTCGCATACATGTACAAAATTATTAGTTCTATCAATGACGTAGGGCTATCACTTGAAACATCCGCGGCCAGTTGTATAAAGGGCAGATAACACTATCCAACGGATAAATCGCTATCCACTGAGCGGACAGGTGATTGCAAAACGTACTGCACTATCTGCCGGATAGAGATTATCTAGTGGATAGCGTTATCTAACCTTCAAACAACCGGGCCAGCTTTGTAATTTCTCTACTGTGGCCAATCCACGTCATCAACCAAATTCTCTTGTAGTACCTCCTCCCCAATGACACAGCGCCACAGTTTCTTTTTCTTTACAAACTTACCTCCTTAATCAATCTGTTGGTTTTAAGGGATAAATGCGGCGCAGCTGCTGTGGCAGGGTTCTTTCAGGTATGTTTATTTTGACCGTCATCATCCTTCAGTAAAAGCACAAATTATGCACGTTTATCACCAACAAAAGTCAATACACAATTTCAGAGTGCTATGTTGCTGATGAGATCATAACCTCTGCTGCTGGGGCCAGGGTAAGAGTTGGGAACACTGATGCTGAGGGACGCATGGCTATGGCTGATTGTGTGCATCATATGAAACTCAAGGTAATGTGGCGGATTTAAACCTCAAGCTAACCAAAATGATTTGAAATACCGATTAAAGAGTAACACCAAACAGATTGAGTATTGAAAAATACGAATTAAATGGGATTTGAGAGGTGGCAATTCTAGAGTGTGGTGCTTCATCTTTTCTATTTCTACCAAGTTCAATTGAAGTTCCGAGTCTTGGTTTTTTTTATGTGGAAGGGAGGAAATCGAAGAACCTAAAAAAAAACCCTCAGAGCGTTCTTAACTTTTACAGTTCGTGATTAAATCTGAATTCCTGAGTATTACAACTTTTCTTTTGATTTATTTCCTTCCCGTAACTTCTCCTATTCTTCCATAATTCCCCCACCCCGTCCCCCTCTTTCCTCCATCTTTTCTTGGTCTTTCCTCTCTTCCTTCCATCTTTTCCTTCCCCAACCTTTGTTCCTTATTTCCCCCCTCCTCCCTACCCTCCTTTGATTGTTTTCTTTACCTATATTGTCCGACGAGATTAATTGAATCTCGCTTTACATCCCGGTGATTGTTTCATTATGGTATCAGTAGTAAAAGTGTAATCGTTTTTTTTTTTGTTTGTTTGTTTTTGTCTTTGTTTTGTTTGTTTTTTGTTTTGTTTTGTTTTGTTTTTTTTTCAGGCTCTCGAAGAGAAAGTTCCCACACACATTGTTACAATTGCTACTCTTACTGGCCATGCTATCATTGCAGTTGGTCTTGCCTACTCAGTAAGTAGTGATTTAATTGCCGCTACTCTTATACAGTCGACTTGTGGTGTGTGTGGTGTGACGTTGTGCTTAATGTCTCTATGAAGCTACAGTACACTGTACAGGTCTGTACATAGCTACAACATCGGAAACTAAGCTGGTCAACAAAATTATAACAATTGCAACTGGCTTGTCAAATTTCATAATGAAAAGTTTAATGAATAGCGCAACCGCACAGAAACTTAAAACAAAAGAAAACCACTTTACTTTACTACTAAAATTGCTAATCAAGACACCTAATCAAAAATTCTTCACATGAAAATTGCCCCATTTTTCGTTGTTCTTTACTTTACTACTAAAATTGCTAATCAAGACGCTTAATTGAAAAATTTATCTAATTTGTCTTTCGTTAAAATACGCCTTTCATTCAAGAGAAAGAGTGCGGAAATTCCCTTTCATGAACAGTGAACAGTGTGTACATCATGAACAGTGAACAGTGTGTACAGTTTTAAACACAGAATACTACTGTATAGTACTGTATTGTTGGTCTGTTTCGCATTTGTCTTTGGCCAGGTGTTGACATTTGTTTGTTATATCGGGGTATCTGATATACATTTGGGCTTCTGGATTGTGTTCGTTATAACGAGGATTTCGTTATATCGAGGTTCTGTGGCCTACATTTTACTGTAACTTTAGCCGGGATGAACAGTATTGTTCGTTATACCGAGGACTTCGTTTTAGAGAAGTTCGTTAGATCGACGTTCCACTGTATGTAGAGCATAGTTTTGCAAGGTTTGACACATTTCAGTGTGATTAATAATTATTTGGGCCCTAAAGTTTTAGCCAAAAGTGTGGACCTTAATAACAGGCGCGTAGCGTGGTCACTTTTTCAAGTACGCACAAGTACATATGATCTAGAAACTAAGTAAACTGAGCGAAAAATACTGCGTTCTTTATTCTTATTTGAAATAGTTGTGTGAATACAAGCAAAGAACAAAGCGTCTTGCCCTTATTTTGAGCAAACTTAGCGCAAACACAACATTGTTTTCAAAATTTTCTGGTCACTTCAAGTAGGGACGTGCGTATATGCGTAGAGGACGCTACGCGCCTGAATAAATATCATGAATTGCCATGGCAAACTGACACAATGCTCTGAGTCAGTCGTGGACGAGTGTTTCATCCTACTTAGGGGAATGGGGGACGAGAGAGTGTTGTACTCTACGCCTAAAGTCAGAGGGTCTGGCAAGGATTATTGAGGATTAAAAAATTGACTTTCGGGAGGGGGAGAGTAAGAAGTGAATTGCGGTAACTTGCTGCGCATAAGGAGGCTTACGAACCTGAAAAAGAACTCAAGTGGTACATACAATATTGACGCTAACTTCAAGTCGATGATGTATGGCAAGACCGTTTACAAACTTTCATGTTTTGGTCATTAGATTGTGATTGATAATGGGCCTGCAGCTCGTACCAAGTTTGCACAAAATATCCAAAAAGGTTGGTGTTTTTTTTTGTTTTTTTTTTTACAAGGAGCCTGGTTTTACTACTCTTTTTAAAAGCATGTGAGCTCTAAAAGACAAAATTCAACTAGCATAGATTGTGTCCAGTTCTCACACTTAATCAATGATTTGTTTGGTTATATTTCTAGCTGGACATGACATGGGTGATCCGTTTGAAATCTCGACACTCCGTAGAGAGGTAATCAATAAGTTTGTTTGATACCATTATCAGGTTAATCTTGCCTTTGGTCGTCGTTTCCTTAATTTTTTTTTTAATTATTAAGATTTAACTGAATTTAGAAGTAAGCAATCTCATCTTGCGGTAGGCAAACATTTTCAACCTTATTTTTTGTCCAAAAAGGAAAGGCAAAGTGGATGGGTTACTCGAGATTCCTCCTCAGCGACTTTATTGCAAACATCTTATGAAAGCTTTGATCCTGAGAGTGACCAGTAGATAATTTCTCCTTGCAACATGACACCTAAGTCAAACGTTAACGTCACGAGAGTGAAAGAAATAATCACCAACTAACGAAACTCTTGATTGTTAAACAAATATTCCTGAGCAGCACCTTAGGCACAGTATAGAGAACAGAATGGAGAATTTGAACTGATGTTAGATTGTAAATGGGTAAGGGTGAGGCAGTGGTAAACTAAAACTAGATAAAATGCAATTAAAATTCACTCAGCTTTTTCCTTCCAGCCTGCCTCATGTATAGTTAATCCGCTTTACGGCCAATTTGCATTTATAACCAAAGTAAAGCGCACGCTCTGATTGGTCAATTTAGCGTCCCCCATTTGCCCATGGGTGTACGCTGCTGACGTGAGCAAATGCAAAG